GGGGGGCGGGGGGGCGGCCCCTTCTACGGGACACAGAAGCGATCTGGCGACAGGTAAGTCGCCAGAATCGCTTCTGTTGTAAAGCCGACAGTCGGCTTTACAAGTTTAAACAGACACCCGGCGGCAAAGGCCGCCAGGAGTCTGTTTAAACAGCCCCGATGCTGGCGACGTACACTGTACGTCGTCAGTCACGAAGGGGTTAAGCCAGGTCCTCACATCCGCCCTACCGCCCAGGTCCCCCCGGGGGGCCGCCCTACCGCCCAGGTCCTGCACTACACAGGTCGCCCATCGAATCTTTGTATCTCCACAGCTCAAATGGGAAGCGAGCATTGAGTGTGACGGCAGATTGCCGATTGTAACCACGACACAAAGACCCTTCAGGCCCGTTTACTGTGGGTGGTCCGGGCGGATCTGGTCGGACACCCCCATGTAACTCTATGGGCCTATTCACATCAGCTGCCGTGCTACAGTGCATGGCTGCCAGTGCGCGTGGGCCCAGCGCAGTGTTGATGTGCTTGATCGGAAAGGATCACACCGTTTACTTTTTTCGTTAGAACTTTATTGCAACGTCACAAGTGACATTTCAATAGGTTCCATTGGAACAGCGAGGTGGAGTGCTGTTGTACTGCGCCACCCTGTGCTGAAAAATAAGTACTGCATGCCGTACTTGTTTGCTGTGCACACTGTCATGTTGGTCTGAGCCCCTCTGGGGCAAGGCGAATTGCACCGTCTTCCCTTCTGGTTGAGCTGGAAAAAATGGCCAGGGCAGCTGTAACGCATCGGTTGTGAATGGGCCCTTTACGTCCAGTTACTCCCGACTCCGTCCAAGTCTGGAAAACGAAAGGGAGTGGAGTTCCGTTTTGGGGCACCGAGCTCTGATGGAGGTAAACGCTTACGGCTGGCTCCCCATAGTCCAGGGGTGGGCAAACTCAGGCCCTGCAGCTGTTGTGGAACTATAAGTGCCATGAGGCATTGCAAGGTTCTCAAAGCCACAGACATGACTCCCAGAGACAGATGCATCATGGGATTTGTAGTATCACCCCGGCTGGACGGTCGGAGCTTACCCACCCATGGCCTAGTCCCAACATGGGTCTGTACAGTTAGTCGTTTTGTTTTTATTACCTCCCTTGCAACATGGGAAGGGGGAAGGGGGGGGTTGAGGAGAGTGACATGAATGTCACGAGTGTTATAATTGGAGCAGATGTAGAAGTGTCTGTAGCCCTTTAGGATCTAGGGGTTGCCTGTAGGTCTGCACTCCGGATTTGAGCCAGCTTGCATGACATTTGCCTTCTCCAAGAGCGCTCCTCCATGCACAAGTGCCATGCGGATTGCATTCTGTATGTCTAGAAGGATTGATCTGTCTTTCTGCTGCTGGTCTTCCAGGTTGAATGATGCCCAGAGTCACTGAACCCACTTCCTCTGAGCCCGGCGCGCCATGTGGCTGCCCCCTGTGGGCATACACGTACAAATGTTCTTACAAAAAACTTGTCAGAACATTCGATAATGCCACCAGAGACTTGACCAATGTCATTCAAGATTAACGTTTGATTTTGTAATGAATGGGGTTTCCTGAACCAAAACCACATCCATGTAGGACCCCCAGCGCACACAGGCAGACCCCCAGCTTTCTTAGATGGATCTTCAGTACACACAGGCTCATCCCCAGCACAGACAAATGGATCTCCAGTACACATGGGTGAATGCGCAGGACCCACAGGTGAATCCCCAATAGACACAGATGGATCCCCTGTGCCCGCGGGTGGCTCCCCTGTGCCCGCGGGTGACTCCCCTGTGCCCGCGGGTGGCTCCCCAGTGCCCGCGGGTGGCTCCCCAGTACCCGCGGGTGGATCCCCAGTGCTTACTGGTGTGTCCTCATCTGCAGAGAGAAGGTTTTGGTGTAGTTCAGTTTTCGGATCTTGTCTCCGGATGTTCTGTAGAGCTCTCCCCGGGTCCACTCAGCACAGCTGAACCTCCTCCGAGTGCTCGCAGCCCATCCCTTGTATTGTAATGGACATCAAAGTGGAACCCACATCAGCAATCTATGTATTATAGGAAGAATCATGTACAAGAGATGACAGCCATTCTGGCTGATTACCCAGAATCCTCTCCTTCCACTGCCACCCCTCCCCCGGGATTCCTCCAAATCTTCCACACGCTGGCCATAGCCTAGAGCTGGCTCATAATCAAAGTACAACTCCAGGCAAACTTCTTTTGTATTGCATGTGGTCTGTAAGGATCTGATTGACACACAGGGGCGTCCCAAGGCGTGGTGACACCCGGCTGCACTTTGTTTCTTCTTGGTCCCGCTGCAAAGCCCCACAACTACCTGCTAATCCTGCCAGTGAAGTCCACCTAATGCATCCTCCTGTGATAGGATGGCAACAATGCTGCACTGCTTTTGAATTCAGAGCAGAGTTGTCACCCTCATGTAGGCGGCGCTTGCTTGCACTCCAGTGGGATGAGAAGACGTTGCAGGCTGCGTGGCTATCGGCATTATCACTGCTGATTCACAAGCCTGTAAGGCCTGGCTCACACCTGTACGTTTTGTAGCGCGTTCAACGCTCTACGAACGCTCTACAAAACGCTCAAACATGAAAATCCCATTGTTTTCCATGGGTATGGTTCACACCTTTCCGTATTTCAGCCCGTCTGAACGCGCTACAAAACGGGCTACGCCTGAAAATGTACATGAGCTTCTTTGCAGCGTTTTTGTTGCGCGTTTCCATTGGGATACAGCCAAGTAGCCCCCGGAAACGCGCGTTTGGCGCACAGTTTTTTACCGCGAAACGCACATATTCGATACGCCTAGGTGTGAACAGAGCCTGACTTGTCAATCAGCACCTAGCCCCACCCACTCCTTTCTAGATTGACAGCACTTCCTCTGCTACTGAAACCCTCCCACTGTGAGCTGCAGTGTCTGGGGAAAGGGAGTTTGCGAGACACAAATGAAGGAGGGTTCGGCTCTGATCGTTCAACACTGAGAGTGGTGACATGTGATGGGGAGACAAGTCAGTGGGGGGGGGGGGGGGGGGGGGTTCGCCCCTTCCTTATAGCTGCTTTAGTATTTACATAGCCCTGCCCCCTCTCTGCAAGCTCCAGTGTTCTATGAGAAAGACGAATGTCTCCTCTCACATTGTGTGCTCTGATCGTTCAGGGGAGACCAGTCAGAGATTTCCTGCACAGTGGTGTGGGGGTAAGCTGAACAATCAGAGCACACAATGTGAGAGGAGACATTCGTCTCTTTCTCATAGAACACCGGAGCTTGCAGAGAGGGGGCTTGGCTATGTAAATACTAAGCAGCTATGAGGAAGGGGCGGGGTTATGGGAATAGCTGAACGGTCAGGGGGAACTAAGATTTACGGGGACAGGTTTCCATACAACTGCTGCAAGCATCTGATGAGAGAGGGGAATACTGGTATCAGAGGGGAAAGAGAAGGGAGGCGGAGTCAGCTTGCTGCTTCTCAGTTGAGACTCCACCTCCTGCTCCCACACATCAGCGTGCACACTCCAGCCGTACACAGTGTGCTTGACTAGAGAAAGCGCGGCCATGGCAGAGAGAGAAAAAAAAAAGCTGAGGGCTTGTCTGCATTCCCTGTTAACGCCCCCTAAGGCCTGGTTCACACCTGAACGTTTTGTAGCGCATTCTACGCTCGACGAACGCTCTACAAAACGCTCAAAAATATAAATCCCATTGTTAGGCCTGGTTCACACCTGGACGTTTTGTAGCGCGTTCGAACGCTCTGCAAAACGCTCAAACACCGAAATCCCATTATTTCCTATGGGTATGGTTCACACCTGGGCGTATTACAGGCCATATGAACGCGCTACAAAACGCCCTACGCCCAAAGAAGTACAGGAGCTTCTTTGGGGAGTTTTTGTTGCACGTTTCCATTGGGATACAGCCAAGTAGCC